CTAGACAAAGAAAACGTCTTCTTTTTATTACGATGTCGATGATGATAATATTTCGTTATTTGTAGTTCAATTTGTTTGCAACTTTTTTATATTTATGTGTAAATATGTACGTAGTGTACTATACCTATTATGTAAATATTTTATTAATATTAAAAGTTATTTGTTTAATTTTAATTTATTTCTAAACGGAATTACGGTGAGCGTATGTGAATTAATGATGGGAAAAATCAACATTTGCTGAAGTTTGGAAATCTGGATTTTTGAAATTCGAAATCCGGATATTATTGAAACTCCAAAGTTTTATCTAGACCAGATTTCTATTTTTAAATTTTGAATTCGAATGTTTTTACGTATTAGTGCATTAATTATTATCAAGTCATAATGACTTAAGCTTCTTTAAAATTAAATGAATATATTTAATATACTTAATTTGTATATGATTCAAAAACTAGTGATAAATATAATTTTATTTTAAATCAACTAATTTAATCAACACAATATCAAAACCACAACAACACGACGTAGGTAGGTTCAACAATTTTAACTCAAATTATATAAATTAAAAAAATTTTAATAGGGATAATATTCTTAAAGTACCTATTAACAAAATATTATTAGTGTGTTTTTATTTACTTGATGTTGATCTTTTAAATCAAAACTGGTCGTAAGATATACATTTATTTGCACATTACAAACAATGCGCCATGCTATATATTTTTATTAGTATATTCAATACTTTATCTATACAGATATTATTAGAAATTTTAAATCATATTTTAAATATATTATTTAAATTCTAATAATATTTTTTTATAAATGTAGAGATTATGTATAGTGTAAAATTATTATATAATTATAGAAATATAAAATTAGTTACATAATTTGTAAGTAAAATACTCATAATATACAATGATTAAGAAAAAAAATTTAACTGTAGAATAATGAAGTTTGTGTATTTTACAGTGTATAACATAATTAATAAATTACAAATATAATAATAAAAATTATAAATTAATAGCAGAAAAAAAATGAATAATAATTAAATCATTAAAATGGATTAATATGTAAAGATAATAAAAAAATAATAGTAAGTGTCAACAAACTTATTATAACCATCTATTATGTTTATAATGAAAAGGGTATAATATTAATAATAATTTGTTAATAGTTGTTTTTCAAAAATGATGATCTTAACATCATAGGCAAAACCAGAGACGACACAGAGAAAGCAGCGAAAGTTTTAGAAAAATCAGCAGATAAAATATGACTAAAAATAAACATCGAAAAGACAAAGATCATGGAGCTATTAGATACGGATGCAGATTTAACAGACCCTGACACGAAGGACTGGATATATGAAAAAATGATTGAGTTTAAATACCATGGCGTATGTATAAATACAAAGAATGACTGGTTACAAGAGATTGGATTAAGGATAATAAAACCAGGGAAGGCGTCCTTTGCATTATCCAAATTTTTCAAAACTAAAATGCTGTCAAATAAAACAAAAGTTGGACTCTACACAGTAATAGTATATTATATTACTGTTATGATGAAATTCACCTGTAAGCATGGTTATGCATATTTTTTTTGTTTTAAAAGTTATGGAACGAGATAGTAAGTTAATCAACTTACTAGTGAAATTTGAAGTCGAGGGTATAATTATCTTAGATATTGTTTTTTATTTCGTTGTTTATACTGTGTAAAATAATTTTTACTGATAGTGCGAATAACTGAAACTTTATCGAAAATAATTGTAATATTATAGTGATTTTTAAGGTCAAAATATTCATATCAACGATATGACTGCCTAACCATATTAAGAACTTAAACTTGAAAAAGCTTAATGTTCATCAGATCGACAAACTTTATGGTAGATCGAAAAATATTCTCAGTGATAAAAATCGATAAAATTCTTAAAAATAACAATTACAATGGTTGCAAAATATATTGATAAAATTATCGAAAATCTTAAAAAGACTATTTCGCTTATTGACTAAACTTACAATTACAAAATTGCTTATATTTAAGTTTAAGGATGTAAGCCGGGGTTCATTGTGTTTTATATTCTCCACTTAAACGTATTTTCTTGAACGATAGGCATATTTTAGAAGTAAAATTGTCTTAAACCATAATCGATAGATACTTAAAAATTATACAGAGAACCTAACCAACAATTAATAGAAAAGAATAAGAGAAAAGCAATATATTTTGGATGAAAGCCAATTGAAGAGTATTAACAAAAGATACATTTTTGATAACCCCCGTGACTAAAGAACGTGTATATGTAGATTGTTCATGCAAATCCATCGATTCCTATTGTATTTAAACGTTTTCAATGGATATCACGTGTGCATTCACGAATATTCAGCATTCTGATATAATCATAAGAACATTTGTAGCATACAAATTTGAATCAATATTTAACACTTACTCAAATTGATTTGAATATGGAGTGTACATTTTTCAGTATAAAATGTACATACTAGAACATTTTACATTAATTTTTTAGACAATTAAGATTGCCACAAGCACTTTAGAAACACAATTTTTTTCCATAATTAAAAAATAAAATTGTAATAGAATTTTTGGAAACATGTTGAAATGTTTTGATTGTATAATCAAAATGTTTTTTACGATTATACAAATATAAATCATTATTAAAAGTTATATAATGCTTACATAATCATTTAGAAAAGTATTGGTTCAACCAAATATGAATTATTGTTTTCATGTTAAGCCATGTAATTTTATTGTAAACAAAATATGTGTAACTTGCATTAACAGTTAATAAGCTATTTAAGAATACGAAAAATTAAATAATTCAGAAGAATATGACAAATACCGTAGGATAATAAAATGTATGACAACTTGACGTGAAATAGAGCATTTAAGGATATTTTAAATATAGTTATTCGAATACTCTTGGCTATGTAGGCGGGCACTTCATTATCATACTGCCAGTTTAAAATGAAAGGTGAAAATATAAAAGGCCCATTATGCTAATATCAACTTATTTTATTTTAAGATGAACTTAGTTAGTTGTAATCATATCACATTGATATTTAGTTTAGCAATTATTATTATTATTTATCTTTTTTGTGGCAGTGTTATTTTTAACTTCCCATTTTATTCAAAATATTAGCTATTTCTTTAATAAAAATGTAAAACATAATATTTATCATTTTATGCGACAAATATGAAAGTCAGTAATAATTGCAAACAAAACCAAAACTAAAAGTCGATATTTTTTTATCGTGATTAAAAATTAATTAGAAAAAACACACTCGTTGCCATCAATTAGCGTAATAATATTTTTTACAGCTAGACATAATTTCATATACTACACTATGTTAGATAATTTTAACGTCGAATAATAGATAGAATTCACATTAATTTCCCATTATGAAAAAATCTACTTCATAGTTCAAGAAATATTTTTTGATTAACGCTTACATATTTTGTAAACATATGCGATTTTTTATGAAGTAAAAATTTTTTGTACGATTTGTATTTTCATTAAATATTTATTAGACTAAAATAAATTGTTGGTATTACAGTAATTGTTTTATATGATAAAAAATGTATTATGACAATATGATATTGATATAAGTTAAACACTAAATTCCATAGACGTAAAAACAAAATACCTGAACGTACCAAACTAAATACAGTACATAATTTATGAAATAGTTATAGGTACCTATAGTTTACTTCTTCATCAATTGTATTTTACCCGTTTACTTTAATATATTCTAATACACCGACTATGATTATGACAACAAATATTGAAATATACTATAATTTTGATATAATGAGTATTAGAGATGTTACTTGTAGAAAAATTATTATAAACCGAGTAACGAGTAAAAAGTTTCAATAATAAACTAGGTAAGGGCAGAATAAAAATCCAGTTTTATGATGGATATCGGATAAGAGTCGAATCTTAATTATTAAATCAAATACTCGGCTATCAATATTGATTGCTGGGTAGCCGGAACATTTCTAATGAATATTTAAATAATAAAAATTATAGTAATATTATACATTTATTAATTTTTGTGTCAATTTTATTATATATATGTTTTGCATATTTTGAGTATCAATTAGAGGTATATTTTTAAACATTTAAAGTGAATATTTCCATTATATGTAAAATAGAGAAAATTTTTGCTGTGAATGTAAACGAAAATAAAACTTCATTTTCTATAAGAAGATTTCATGAAATGTCTGCTTCGTGAAAAGTACAAATGAATTATTTGGATATAACTGATACTTTCATTATTTTCTTCCCGAAAAGTAAAAGCTATATTATTTTGAATTATTTATGAGTATACTTACATATTTTATTTAAAAATAAACTTTTGAATCAAACAATTAAATTTAATCTGCCTAAATCGGGAGTTTTTGGTATTTATAGGATGACTAATTCATTAGTAGTCTAAATACAACGTGTTGTGGAAGTTTTTAATATTAATGACATTCAAGTATTCTAACTTCAATATCATGTTTGAGAATCGTATATAATTTCACCGCGTGTCTACAGTTCTTTTGTACAACACAAACATCTGTAAATTTTGTTTTTATTTTAATTTAATTATTTTCATAATGGCATGTTAAAGAGACATAATAATGCATGCGTTTATTTTTCTATATGTAGAACGCCTTTTCTTCATCAAAACACTCCAGTAATCTATTTAAATAATACATGTGATATATGTATATATATCTGTGGTATGTATATATGTATATACATATTTGTGTATTTGTAAGTTTGCTTATATACATACATATATATATATATATACATAAATAATATGTTAAAAAAATATGTAGTAGTTTTATTATGAACACGAGTATGAATGGAAAATATAAATGTTTAAAGTCATATGAGATCATACACTAAAACAATATTACATTATTATCATATTTATTTTTTATAAAAATTGTAATATTGATTTGTTTGATTTATACAAACAATTATTGTATATGGGATCCAGGCGGGAATCCTGCTCTCAGCTCAGACGTTGGCGGCTCAGGGAACTCAGGCGCGTCGGGTACGACTCAGACGTGCATTAACAGAAGCTGCAAATTCAGACACAGTTCCAATCATCAAAACGGTACAGAATCATAATAAAAAAAAAAATAATAATAATAAAATCACACACATGATGGTAATACACACATAAACACGCCACACACATTTTATCCATTATTATCTCAACTTAATGTAACTATCACTATTATCATTATAATTTGCCACAAAATAAAAAAAAAATAAAAAAAGAGCACAATTTTTACTCACTCTTGGCTTCTCGAGCATTAGATCATTAATAATTCGTAATATTAATTTGAACGCACAAGCTTTGAATGCAGCACTATGCATCTTCCGTCCCAGTAGTAAAAATTTTTTGTAATGACATTTTTTAAGTGAAACAGATAAGCGATGCTTCAACGAATATGATTAATTGCTTACTATTTTTATTGGTCCCTAGTCATATTCTTCCTTGCATTTATGTTTGCAATAACGATAAAATTGAGACTAATAGGCATTCTGTTATGGTGACAAATCAAAACAAAAATGGTATATGAAAAATCACTCGATATTACGACATTTTCTTCCAAAAAAATACTCAAGAACTGAAACATTCATCTCCTCTACAAATCTTATTGTTTGACAAATAACCTGTGCTTTAGATATGTTGTTACACCATTCGTTCAATTAGGTACTGTAAATTGTACTTTGTTACTATAGAAATGTACATCAAGTAGGTTTTTGGTTTTAGTTTTCATTTTAGATAAATATGATTTTATCATAAATATTGTTTATTCCTTTTGGGTAGACTTCGGTTTAAGCGATTGTTTGTCTACTCAATATTTGTATACACAGCATTACGAAGAAACATGTAAACTACAAATAAAAATCCGTTTTTATAAAAAAAAGCACCATTACAATATTTTTATAACTTAAATAAAGTATATTTATTTATAAAGACATGAATTTTAATTTTCAATATTTTAAAATAAATAAAACTATTTGTTTGCAAGAAATGCATTAATTCCTGTAGTATATATATTTATTCAAAGTTATAAATATGATAAAATCAAATGTTCATTAGATGCATTTAATAAATAGTTCATGTTTAATAATACTCAACTTAAAATTAATAAAAGTTTTATATTTTTTTTTTAAGGAAAAATAGATTTAAGAAAAGCAATTGTTAAAGAAATACAATTTTTTTTAATTAAAATATAATTTATTATACCTAATTTTATAAATATACGGTATCTACATAATTTAAATAATACTTGAGGTACAAAATGAAATGTCACTTCTTTAAATAAACTTTTTATTTTTTCATACGACATGTTAATACATCAAAACAAAATAATATGTGAAAATATATGAAATATAAATTTGAAAATTCGTTGAAAATAATTTATAATCCATTATACCATACATACAAGAAATATTTTAAACATATAGATATAATTATATGTTACGACTTAAGTCCAAAATATAGCTAAGGTGCACATTACCCGGATATTGTACACTCTAGCCACAATGGTTGGATTAAGTAAACAGTTAAAATTTAAAATCAAATTTTAGTACATATTACCCGGCTAAAGTAACTTTAGTCATCGTGTTATGACTAATTATGACTAATATAAAATATTAAATTTGTAAAATGTAAAATTAAAATTTATAATTATATTTTATTTCAATAAAATTAATTAATATAAGCGTTGATAAAATAATATCAAATATTGTAATATATAATCAATGATATAAGTTAACAATTAAATAATAATATATAACTCACCGTTGTGTATGTAAATTAAACGGCAAAACAAATAATTACAAATGCAAAGCATTGGGTGTTCTATGCCAGCGTTTCTTAAACTTTTTTATCGGTGGAACCCTTATTGATGTACAAATTTATCATGGAACCCCTAATTTTTTTTTTTTTAGCTTTTTAGCTTTTTTAAGATTATTTTTAAATTAATTATTATCATATGATAATATTGTTTTAAAAGTATTTAGTTTAAAAAATATGTTAAAATAAAAATTAAAATAATAATAATTGTGTACATATATATATATATATATATATTATAATACTTTAATAATAATTACTTTAATTAGACTAAATATAAATTTAGACTATTCCATATGGCTTATACATTGTTATTTAATATACAAAGATTTTTTTTCTTTAATGCAAACAGTTTTTCACCATCACTAATCTTTAGTAGAAAATTTTAAAGTCATTTTATTAAAACATTACTTAAGCTTCGTGGAACCCTGAAGTGATCTTTGCGGTACCTCAGGTTTTCGCGGAACTCAATTTAAGAAACGCTGTTCTATGCAATTCAAAATGTTATCAAAGTTTATCGTGTTTAAATAAATAATAATAAAAAACCATTATCTAATAAATAGTATTAATAATATCTGATAAAAATAAATTTAATATTGCATAAAATGTAGTTAATTAATATTTAATTTTTAACTTATATGCCATAACACGATGACTAAAGTTACTTTAGCAGGGTAATAAGTACAAAACTATGATTTTAAATGTTAATTGTTTACTTTATCCAACCAGTATGGCTAGAGTGCACAATATTCGGATAATATACTTTTTAGCCATGTTTCGGAATTTAGCCGTAACATATAAATATATTTTATTTTTAAAATTATTAATATATTAATATTAATATTTTTATATTTTTTATCATTATAATTCAAATTTCACATTGTTAACTTAAATTTAAAACTAAGTTTTCATTATTAAACATTATCGTTAAAATGTAATATTCCAAATTTAATAGTAAACTTAATTAAGTGAATTTAATAGTGACTTTAACAGTTGTTTATTTTTTATAATTTATATTCTACTTGTTGAATTAGAAATTTGGAATAATTTTCAAACTTACTCATTGAATTATTTTTTTATTTGAAAATAAAATAACATTATAATATAAGTATTTACCTCAAATGTTTACAATATATTTAAGTACATTTTTTCTCAGAAATTTTAAGTTATTTTAATAGTTAATAAATAATAAATATGTATTTCATTATAAATTATATATAATTTGGAGTATAATATTATTCACCATGGTAAAGTATTATCCATGACCATCATTCATCACCAATTTATGGACCCTTGTCGATATAGTTTCATGAATATTTTATAGTCGAAAAAAAATATGCCATATAAAATACGTATTTTCTACACATATTATATTGCTGTACATTTTTTAATAAATAAAAATAATAAAACATGATTTTCAATTTTTTTTTTTTAACATGATACACACATCTGTTACATAAGTGCATAACTTATGTACATTTGTACATAAGTTGCACAGTAATAGTATTTTATTTTATAAAACATAACAATAAATAAAAATATGAGGAAATAAATCACCCATTGGTGACACGAGTTGATAATGAAAAATTTTGATATTTAATATTACATAATGAAATATTAAAATAACATGTTATTTATTTCATAAATAGCATTTATGAAATTTATACAATATTTGATAGATAATAATAATTTTGATAACATATTCGGTACAATTATGATAGAACGATTGTAACATAAAAAATATACATATTTATATAATGTTTTATTATGAATGATCAAGAGCATTATGGAATGATTCGTTTTTGAAAAGTGGTTGTGTGGAAATAAATTAAAGGATTAATTATAGAATTCAGGTCCCAGAGGAATATGGGTAGTAATAGTTTAATATTAGAATTGGGAGTTTTGTTAATATATAATTGCAAGTATAATATTAGTATAATAGTAAGTATCAACAGAAGTATAAAATATGGTCGGAAGCATGGAAAATGGACTTGGAAAGAGGATGAATTGGAACGGGGCATGGTAAATTTAACTGTAGATTTGAAAGTGTTTGAATAATTATTTTTATGCCGTTTGGTGATAGATTTGAAGGTTACCTTTTAGATTGGTTTTTTTGGGAATTTAAGTAAAGTACTGTGGAGTTGCACTTTGGTTTTATTTGGGTTTTCAACTTGTATAACTGTGTTCAGTAAAAATGAAAAATAGAATATTCTTTTATTGTTATTATTTGGTTCCAGGACCATGAAGAAAAAAGGAAAATGATGGCCATTTTTTTAACGTTTTCGTCGCGTTTAATACAGAATCCCAGCTCCATTAGAGTAATATCGTACTGTTCATTGGTAGAGTTGTGTGGTAGAGATTTCTGATAACGGCTCTATAAGGTCGACGCGAAGAAGGGAAAAATAAGAAGTAGCTAACATGTGCTTATCAGATGATTTAAAATGGCGTTATATTTCAAGCATTCATTTGGACGAATGATCAAAAATAAAAATGTTGAATTCTATTAAAAGCTATTTTTACTCGTCAACTGTAAAAACGTGTTTTAAAGAGCAGAAAATTTACTATAGATAAACTTTAACATGAATTAGTAGATCCCGATCGTCTATTTTTTTTTTTTTTTTTTTTTAATGATGCATATGTAGCTTACATTCAATGATCACATTAGTTCACATAGCAGATGATTCTGCAATGTCATCCTCGGTCGTACTCACAACATTTTATAAAAATCAATCGGACCGTTTGGGAGAAGTTCAATGACATACACATGGGCAGAAGAAATATGCTGATAATATAAATACATACATTTTAATAACTTAGTAGATAATTTTAGTGTGTATACGTTTAATTAACCCTACAATGCATTGTAGGGTTAATCAAATGAAATAATGTAAAAACCAAAATCGCCTTCGAATAAAATAAAATAAATTCCTATTTATTTCTCACTAAAAGTATTGTTCGAAATTTAAGTAGTTATTTTATTTTATTTGAATATTGAATATGGTATGATATTTTATCCAATTACAATTATTTAAACTATTATTGGAATAAAAAAATACAATATAGAAACTTCTTGTTCTTATATAATTATTGTTATGTATAAAATAATATATTATAGTTTATATTAATTAAATTAACTTAAAGTAGGATTTAATTTTTCTGTAATAAAGGTTTAAAAAATATATAAACCCATACGTATACAGTGAATATTGTATTAATTTTATTGTATTTTAAGAAAATACTGA